GGGATTCGAAGTATGAATGGCTATGTGGGATCTGGCTCCCTTAACCACTGTTTCAGAGCCATGGGGTTGGCCCTGAAAATAACTTTGCTTTTTAGGTTTTTTAGTTTATTTTTTTCTGTGAGAGAGCTAGTTCACAGTAGCCATGTGGAACCTTGTCCTGAAGGCCCGTGGCTTCTTCTCCCATCTTATTTTTTGATGCATCTCTAAGTTGAATAAATCTTTACAATATCCCCTACAAACAACAAATACATTTTAAAAAATAATTATTTATTTTATTTGTTATTATTTTAAAAGAATTTGATGAGAGAGACAAAGAGAAAGGGAAAGTGAGAAAGCAAGCTGCCAGGTCTGGGACCTGAACCTCAGTTAGCCCTAACCTCAGTTAGTCTAGTGCCCCAACCGCCATGCCACCTGCCCATCCCAAACAACAAATAGTTTTAATTTATACTTTTTTTTCTTGAGAGATTTTTGCTATAGGGTGCATGTGCTTACCTGAGAGACAGAGAAAGACAGAGACAAAAAGTGAGAAATCACCCCCCCAGGGGATGGCCATGCCACAATCCCTTCTCCATTCTCCTCATGAGATTTTTGGTTACACACATGCACACATGCCTGATCTGGGACTTGAACTACAGCTGGCCACATGGGAGTCCAGTGCCTTAACCACTTTGCCACCCACTGGCACCTTAATTTAATTTTTTCATTTTTAAAAATTTATTATTTTTTTGCCATGTAAATTTTATTTTGACCCACAACATAAAGGAGGGTGGCTTAGTTGATAGAGGTTTAGGGTATTAGCTACACTGGAAGAATGACATTTGTGGTTTTAGACCTCCGAGGGCACAGTAACAACATATAGTTAAACCAAGATTAAGGGGGCCGGATGGTGGTGCAGTGGTAAAATGCAACACTCCGCAAGGTAATCCCACATGAGAAGGTTGCCTGTTCTTGTCCAGAGACCTCCCTAAGTAGGCCCAGCATGTACTTGTCCATGATTCAGGGCTAGTTGAAGGCTGGGGGTGGATCACGGCCTCTGTTGGGGTTGCTGTCTCTCTTTCTCTCCCTCTCTCTCTGGGTCTCTCAGTCATGGCATAACCTAATAACAATAAAACTGGGATAAGAGGGCCAGCAGGTGGCATGTGGTTAAGGTCCTGGACTCTTGCATGAGCGACTGTGGTCTGAGTTCCAGACCTAGCAGTGTGTATTCTCACGTTCCCTCTCTCTCTGGTGAGCACACACACCTTATAAGCAAACTTTAAAAATAATTATAAAAAACAAACAAACAGAATCCAGCAGGTGGCGTGGTTAAGGTGCCCGACTCCCACAAGGCTGACCATGGTTCACGTCCCAGACCTGGCCGGCTTGCTCTCTCTCTCTCTCTCTTTTTTGAGTGCACGTGCAAAAATTGACCAAAAAAAAATAAATAAAATTAAATAAATAATTCTATAAATAAGCAAACAAATAAACAAAACAATAGGATAAATACTTTTCAATAATAGAATAAAATTGGTGGCCCAATGGAAAGGAAGCCTCAAGCTTGCTTATCACTAAGAATAAATCTTACCGCCAGGGGGCAGTGTAGGCCGTGGGAACGCTAAGGCCGGGGGCTGAATGCATTCACCTACCCCTTTTACGGTGTGTTTCGCTGATAGGGTGTAGTTTTGGGTTTCGTTGCTGCCAGAAACAGGCGGAATAACAGCCGTGGAGATGTACTATGTATTCCATGCATCATGGGAGGGAAGAATGAATTTACAAAAAAACGCGAGGTTAGACAGGCAGAGCTGCTGCCACGCAGGCAGGACCCAGGCTGCATTAGGTCGGGACGGTAGATCCCTCTCCTCTCCAACAACTTTTATGTTGCATTATTTTCAAATCTATCGTAAATCTAAGTGGCAGTATAAAACCCAAGAATATCCAGGCACATATTCCATTAGCTGTCAACAGAGATGTCACTACAGGCATAGAACCTATAGAAACTTCTGGAAAATTCCACTGAAGGCTTGTTTGGGGAATGAGAGTGAAAAGAGACAAAGTGGTTTTTTTTTGAGTCTGTTATGAAAATAGTCTTTTTTAGACTTTTATTTTTTTAATTGCCAGAGGGCACATGCATCACCAGAGAGATAGGGAGAAAGCACCCTCCCCAATGGGGTGTGGTCAGCAATCCCTTTCCCTCCATCTCTCCACCCTGTCAGGATTTGGGGCATGCACACATGCATGTGTTTTTCACATGTTTTTCAAGTCACTGGGCTGGGATTCGAAGTATGAATGGCTATGTGGGATCTGGCTCCCTTAACCACTGTTTCAGAGCCATGGGGTTGGCCCTGAAAATAACTTTGCTTTTTAGGTTTTTTAGTTTATTTTTTTCTGTGAGAGTAATAGACAGAGACAGAGAGACAGGCACGTTCAACAAGGCCTGGCACCACGACCTCCTGCAGCCTGTTAGCCTGGATCACGGGCACATGTGCACTTCAAGTGTCCGGGGAGGTCCCAGGCTGCACACCCAGGGCCGGCCCCGTGTATCACTGCTGCACCTCTGCCTGGCCCCGAGAGCAGTTAACGATTTCGCAGACCCTGACCACTGCACGTTGGGAACTTCCTTTTTCCAAACCCTTTGTTCACTTCTAGCAAAATGTATGGTCACTTTATAGCACCTTTAGGTATTCATCCTGTGTTCAGTTTTCTCCACTTGCCCAGGAATAATTTTGACAGCTGCTTTTAGGAACCAGGACCTCGTCAATGTTCCTGCATGACATCTGTTACGTTTGTTTGGCCTTTTGTGTTCTAGAACGGTTTCATGTTCTTTTTGTTGGCTTTTGAAACTTTCTGGCCTGGTGTCTTGTGGAGTGTTTCACGTCCTAGACCTGATTGATCATTTCTAGTGGTGTCATTTAACTTGCTTTTCTGCTTTTATTTTCTTCTTCAGAGAGAGATTTTTGGTATGGGGGGCATGCACTTGCTGGAGAGGCAGAGAGACAGAGAGCGAGAAATCATCCCTCCAAGGGAGATGGCCATGCCTCAATCCTTTCTCCTCCATTTTCCTCTCAGGATTTTGGGCACACATGCACATGTGTCTGGCATGAGTTAAGTCACCAGGTCTCGAACTAGCAACGTAACCATTATACCATCTGCTGGGCCCTAACTTGTTCTTCTGAAATGTCTCTTTCCTATGAACTCGTGTAAGTCATGGAATTTTTTGAAAAACAATTTTGCCAGAGGCCATGTGCACTTGCCAGAAAGACACAGAGAGAGGTGGAGAGAGAGAGAGAGGAAAGAGAAAGCCCCCCTCACACACACATGGGGTTCTTTGGTCACACCACAATCCCTGCCCCCTTCTTCCTGTTGGGATTTTAAGCACAATGTACATGCACACCTGGCATGTTTTCCAAGCAACCAGGTCCAGATCTTAAACTGTGGTTGGCCGTGTGGGATCCAGCTGCCCTAATCAACCATCCCATGTGCTGGTCCTATCATGCACTTTTAAAAAAGAATTTTTTATTTAACTTTATTTATTTATTTATTATTTTAATTTGACCAGAGAGGGAGAGAGCAAGAGAGAGAGAGAGAGAGGAAGTGAGAAAGCAAGCTGCTAGGTCCGGGACTCGAACCATGGTCAGCCATGTGGGAGTGTCTAGCACCTTAACCACCATGCCACCTGCTGGTCCCCTATCATGCATTTTTAAAAAAGAAGTATTTAATTTAATTTTATTTATTCATTCGTTTATTTTAATTTGACCAGAGAGGGAGAGAGCAAGAGAGAGAGAGAGAGAGGAAGTGAGAAAGCAAGCTGCTAGGTCCGGGACTCGAACCATGGTCAGCCATGTGGGAGTGTCTAGCACCTTAACCACCATGCCACCTGCTGGCCCCCTATCATGCATTTTTTTAAAAGTTTATTTTATTTATGATAGAGAGCACATATGCATACGTGAGGAAGAGAAAGACAGAAAGAGACAGACAGAAACACATATTCCACACACCCACCCTCAGCAGGGTAGCTTCACACCGTGGTCCTCTCAGCCCTCTCGCTCTTCAGGACCTTGGGCACGCATCCATGTGCCTGACATGTTTTCAGACCAGGGATCCTGTGGTCGGCCATGTGGCTTCCAGAAGTTAGGTTTGCTATAATTGTACCACCTGATTGGTCTGATCCTAGATAGTTTTGTGTTGGTAGGAATAGTAGGCCACAAATGGTGTTTGATTTTCACTGGGCTGTGTGCTAAGCTTGGTAAGTGAATTTTATCAGCTTATTCCCAGAGATTTTCAAAATCGGGGCCAGCCGTTAGCGTAATGGCTATGTCGCTGGACTCCCACGTAGTTGACTGCGGTTCGTGTCCTGGACCTGGTGGCTTAAAACTCCGGGGACCAGCAGGTGGCGTGGTGGTTAAGGCGCTGGACACTCCCACATGGCCAACCATGGTTCAAGTCCTGAATCTGGTGGCTTGCTTTCTCACTTCCTCTCTCTCTCACTCTCACCCTCTGTCTCTCTCTGGTCAAACTAAAAAATAAAATAAATGAATAAATAAAATAAATAATTTAAAAAAATTTAAAAAAAAAGAAAACTCACTCCGGGCGCATGTACGTGCGTGTCCAAGGTCCCGAGAGGAGAATGGATGAGAAGGGATTGCAGTGTGGTCATCCCCCCTGGGGGGTAATTTCTTGCTTTCTGTCTCTCTGTCTCTCTCTGTCTGGTGAGCGCACACGCCCTATAGTGAAAACCTCTCCAAAAAAAAAAAAAAAGAGATTTTCAAAATCAAATATTGTTATCCTCTCCCTTATTTTGGGGAGGAGAATTTTTTTTTAAAAAAAGTATTTATTTATTTATTTATTTATCTATCTACTTCTTCTGTGAGTGTGAGAGACAGAGACAGAGACAGAGAAATGGCCTTGTTGACAGGGTCTTAATGCTGTGGTCCAAGATGTGGCCTTGGTGGTGGGGGGTGGTTCTGGGGTCAGTTTCGCCACATAAGCTTGTTGGTGACTCTGTATCCCGCTATCCCTGCCAGGCCTTGGAGACCCGGGCCAGCCCTGGCCATACCCCAGGCTGTGTCACCTTTGTCCTAAATGACCACAGTATGGCCTTCACTGGAGATGCCCTCCTGATCCGAGGATGTGGACGAACAGATTTCCAGCAAGGTGACCAGCTCCTTTATCCAGCCCAAGATCTTCACATAGTTACGTGTGGGCCAGAGTGTTAAGTATGAGTTATAAGAATGAATGAATGTTCTCCTTTTTTTTTTTTGGTGGGGAAGGATCAGTACTGGGGTCAAAGAGTTTCAGTGCTAGAATATATGGAAGAATTAGATTCAGGGGTTGAGCTGCTAGGCGATAGTTAGATTCAGGAGTGTATTAGATATCTATTACTGTGTAACAAATACCCCCAAACCCAGTGGCTTACAAAGATCAACATTTATTATCTCATACCGTTTCTGAGAGTCAGGAGTTGGGGAGCTGCTTAGCTAGATGGTTCCGGCTTGGAGTCTGTCACGAGGTAGCAACATAGTTGTCACCAGAAGTCATCGATCATCAGGAGGTTTGACTGGGGCTGGTGGATCTGCTTCCAGGCCACTCACTCACGTAGCCGGCTGTGGGCAGGAGGCCTCAGTTACTGACCATGAAGAACTCTCCGTAGGGTTGCAGGAGTGTTTTCTCCACGTGGCAGCTGGATTCTCTCGGAGGGAATGATCAGAGAGAGACAGACAGGCTGGCCGAAGGAAACCTTCATTTTTTTTTTTAATGACCTAGAAAGATGCATTGTCATTTCTGCAATTTTGTATTTATTAGTCCAGACTACTGAGTCAATGGAAGGAAATTAAGTGCCACATTTTGAAGAGCAGGGTATCACATAATTTGTTGATACATTTTTAAACCTCCTTAAGGGGTTTGGTCTCCTGAGGTATGTGGTGGGGATGGAGTCCCATTCAGAAGTTTAGCCACTAGGGGACAGTTAAATTGGAGTTTAGTTGCTGGGGACAGCTAGATTTAGGAGTTCCCCTGTGGAAAAAGTTTAGTTTCCGAATCTTAGGCTTTCACTGCCCTTGGCGTGTGGTGGGTGGATTCAGCACCTTGTGGGGAGGGGCGAGGTGAGTCAGGGTAAGTGCGAATGGCAGAAGCCTTCAGGAGATGACAGGGAAGCCGGTCCGCAGATGGCCTTGTTCCCTCTTCCCCCTCTCCATCAGTCTCCACCTTTTTCTCTCTCTGATTCCCTCTCTCCCGTTTCCAATGCAGCCATTAGAATGGAAGGATTTAGGCTGAAATGAAAGGTGGAAGAATGTTCTGGAGAGATTGCTCTCGCCTCAATTTAAGACTCAGAGCTGCCTCTTCTTTTTAAAATAGTTTATTTATTTCTTCCATGAGTAAGAGTGAGTGAGAGAGAGAGACAGGAGAAAAGTACCCTTAATGGGATCTTGTCATGCTGCACCATGAGTCCCTTTCCCTGCCCCCTAGCTCCCAGGATCTCAGGTGCCCACCTAGAGTGTGTTCAGGCCGACCTGGGGATCTGGACCTGCAGTCGGCCATACGGTTTCCAGCCTCACAGTGCACTCATGTAATGCCGCCCTACAGCAGCTGGGCCAGGACTCAGAATGCCTTGTCCACTCTCCTCCGTGGCCCCATGTCTTTTTTTTTAACTTTCTGTCCCACCTTCCTTATTCCTTTTCTTGGCATCCTCCCCGAGGATACAACTCCTTGGTGTTTGGAGGTCTCACCCCAACTTTGTTTACAGCCATGGTCAGTTTTTTTTTTTTTTTAATTTTATTTATTCATTCATTTATTTCAATTTGACCAAAGAGAGACACAGAGGGCGAGAGAGAGGCAAGGTGAGAAAGCAAGCCACTAGGTCCAGGACTCGAACCACAGTCGGCCATGTGGGAGTGTCCAGCGCCTTAACCACCATGCCACCTGCTGGTCCCCCAGCCATGCTGAGTTTTCATCATCCCTCAGTTCTCTGTGTGTGCCGTTCCACCTGCCCAGATGCCCTTCCCTCCCTGGCTCTACCTAGACAAAGGGGTATTGACAGGAGATGAGAGAGAGGGTTGCCTACACCCTCCCACCTTCTTCTGAAGCAAGGGATCCTATTGATCTCTGACCTCTGAACTTTCCTCCTCCAGGCTGTGCTAAGACTTTGTACCACTCGGTCCATGAAAAGATCTTCACACTTCCCAGCGACTGTCTGATCTACCCTGCCCACGATTACCACGGTGAGGCTTCCTGGAGGAGGGGTGCTGCCTAGGAAACGTCGGAGAGGGGCTAGAGAAATCCTGTAATCCTTGTAGAGCATGGAGACTGCAATATTAGAAATGTCTCTGGCCAGAAAGAGTAAGTGCTTGGGTGTGCCCTACAGGAAGCAGAAGCTAGACCCCTAGAACTGTGCAGGGCCTGAGTTCTCCTGGGACCTCCCTGTGGAGCTCGGGGAACTACACTTCCCACAGTGCCCAGGGAGGAGAGTGGCCAGAGCTGTTAGACCCAGGTAGAGAGGCACCTCAAGGCCTCCTGGGAAATGTAGTTGTAAGAGTTGCAAAGTCCGAGGGAGGAGGTTTTATTTCCCCTTCCTTGGCCACTAGGGCTCACAGTGTCCACGGTGGAGGAAGAGCCGACTCTGAACCCCCGGCTCACCCTCAGCTGTGAGGAGTTCGTCAAGGTCATGGACAACTTGAACTTGCCCAAACCTAAGCAGATCGGTGAGCACTGGATCCCTGGGTCTGGGGGAGGAGGGCTGGGGGCCTGGACTCCTGGGTCTGAGGGAGGAGAGGCTGGGGGCCCGGACTCCTGGGTCTGAGGGAGGAGAGGCTGGGGACCCAGACTCCTGGGTCTGAGGGAGGAGAGGATGGGGGCCCGGACTCCTGGGTCTGGGGGAGGAGAGGCTGGGGGCCTGGACTCCTGGGTCTGGGGGAGGAGGGGCTGGGGGCCTGGACTCCTGGGTCTGAGGGATGTGGGCTGGGGGCCTGGACTCTTGGGTCTGAGGGATGTGGGCTCGGGGCCTGGACTCCTAGGTCTTAGGAGGAGGGAACTCCAGGCCAAAACTCCAGTTCCTGAAGAAGAGATCCTAGGATTTGTGGGTCCCCAATGGGGCATGAGATTCTGCCTGGGCTCCTCAGGGTCACCCTTGCCTTCTCCCTTTCAGACATCGCTGTTCCAGCCAACATGCGCTGTGGGGTCCAGAGCCCCCCTTCCTGACCTCGCTCACCTCTGCCAGGTGCTCACATCCGTTAAGAATGCACTAGGTGGGGGAGGAGAGAGGTGTCGCACCTGTCCCCCTTCCCACCCTCACCACCCGTTAGCCCCTGGAGCCTCTCAATAAAACGTTTTCTTTTTTGCCATGAATCTGACTTCTGCCTGTTTTTTTGTAAATGTCCAATTCTGTTGGGTTGAAATGCTTGGGGTTAGTTCTGATCCCCTGGAAGGGACAGAGGAATGGGCCAGGGAGGACGGCCAGGGAGCAGGAGGGAGGAGAGTTCTAACTCAGCGTCCAATGCAAGTTCAGATTACCCGGGCAGGTCTCATGGTGTTGCCAGAGAGCAGGGTCGTGGGTTGAGCCACTTCCCCCATGAGCTGCAGGGTGAGGCACTTCACTTCCAATGCTTTCCGTAGTTTTCCCATCTGTAAAATGGAACCAGTAACGGTGGGTGTCGTGATGACCCCGAGTGGGTGCACGTGAGAGCTCGGCTTCCTGCCTGCACGGCACATGCCCTGTCGGTTTCGCTGCGTTGGTACTATCATCTGGAAGGATCTTCAGGCACTTCCTGGCTTGGCATGCCATTGTATAATGGATAAGGGCACGGATGTTGTGGAGGATGTAGCCGGTGTTGACATTTACAGCGTGTGTAGATCTTGGGCTCATTCATGCTGCTCAGCCTTAGTGTCCCCAAATATAAAATGGAGATAGTTGGGACCAGCAGTTAGCGTAATGGCTATGTTGCTGGACTCCCACGTAGTCGACCATGGTTTGAGTCCTGGACCCGGTGGCTTAAACTCAAGCCTGGCACGTGTGCGTGTATGCCCAAGATCCCGAGAGAGAACGGAGGGAAGGGATTGCAGTGTGGCCATCCCCCTGGGGGGTAACTTCTTGCTTTCTGTCTCTCTGTCTCTCTGTCTCTGGTGAGCACACGCACCCTATGGCAAAAACCTCTACAAAAAAGTAAACAAATAAAAAATAAAATGGAGATAGCACCTCCTTTCTCGCTGGGCTGCGGACACGGTGAAATTAAACATATTGAAAGCACACGTTTAGCACAGCTTTTGATACCTCATAATGCCTTCTCCCATACCAATTATTTTCCTGTTTTTGCCCGGAGAGGAAAGGGTCTGGCTGGGACCTTTAACCTCTGGCCTCCACTCCACAACAAAAAGGGGGTGGTGGGGTGGGTACTTCCCTTTGTCTCTGGGTGGGTCTCTGACTCAGCTCAGGGCACCCTCTCCCCTTGTCCAGCTCCCTAAACCGGTTGAGGCCCTTCTAAAGGGCTCCTTAAAGGGGAGAGTCCCCCATCTTCATTCCTGTCTTCCTTTCAGGATTCAGGGTCCCGCATTAGGGAGGTCCCTAAACTGAGAGGACCAAGACGCCTGCCCGTCCAGAGGACAGTATTGGGGGCACCCGAGCAGAGTGGGAGGTCGCGATGCTGAATTCCCCGAGGGTGGGGCCGGTGGGGCCGGGATGGCCGGATGCCGGGCCACGGGCGGGGCAAGCTGGTGGCTCTCTCCTCCCACGGGAGCTGTTGGACCTGTTGTCCCCCCCTCCACTTCCGGGCTGTTGGGGAGGGGGACGGGGCGGCCTCTCTCTCCTCCCTCTTCCCCTGCCACCTGTCCAGTAGAAGCGGCAGTGCCCAGAGCGCAGAGCAGAGGCAAGACGCGGAGCTGGTGAGGGGGCCGGGACCGCGGGGCGGGAACCGGGGTGGCTGGATACTCGGCCTCCTGTGTCTGCGGGGAGGAGGCTGCAATTTCGCTCCCGGGAGGCGCACGGGACTCAGGCTCCTGGCTTCTCCATAGTCGGGGAGATTGGGAGCCCGGATTCCTGGAGCCCCGGTGAGGCTGCATGGGCGTTACTCCCCTACACCACCGGGTCTGAAACTCGGGGCGGGATCCGGACTCCCGAGCCCTGAGAAGGAGGTGGGATCGCTCTAACTTATTCCGAGAGATTAGGGGGGGGGGAGCTGGCAGGGCTCAGCATCTGACAACTGGATAAGAGGGAGAGTCGGGGTCGAAAAGGCCAGTAGGGGGCGTGCTAGGACCCCGACTCGAATTCCGGTCCCGCCTCCGGGGTGTGTCACTAGGAGCCGTCAAACTTCGCCCCAAAGTAATGCCCCGCCCCTCAAAACTTCAGGCCACGCCCCGGAATGCTTAGTTCCAGCCTTTGAACTCCTGGGCCCCGCCTCCTGGGCCTTCTCCTCGCTCCGGAGCGGTCCGGTGCGGCGCGCAGGCCCCGCCCCCACGCGGCCAGGCCCCGCCCTCGGAGCGCCGGGCCCCGCCCACCCCGCAGGAGCCCAAAGCGGCCATGGGGACGCCGAGCAGCCCCACGGAGGTGTCCCTGCTGCCGCCGCTCCCCAAGTGCGATGCGGAGGTCAGGCTCCAAGCGGCTGCCCGGCCCGAGGGGGATTCCGAGGGGCATTCGGAAGAGACTCGTGCGCAGGAGCCCCCCG